CAACCGTGTATTATGTAGTTTCCCATAAGTGAAAAAGCTTTCATGATTGGACCAGTATTTCCGAAGATTATGATGCCCTACAAAGCTGTCATTCATTACGCGTCTATGTATGTTACGTTCTGACATAAAAACAAACTGACTCAAAAACTGAAAAATCAAAACGGTACCGCCATTACAAAAACAAATATTTTAGAAAATGCACAGGCGTGATCCTATAATATAATATAGCCAAGGTTTCCTATGCTTTTTGCTAGAAATATGAACATCTAAGTATAACAATATGCAACGCCGGAATCTAGGCAAAACTCTGGAACGTGGCGCCCTAGACAAAACTCTGGCGCAAAGCAAAACACGACAAGGCTCATAAAAATCACAACGAAATAAAAGATTAATGTAGGTTCACCGAATAAAGGGTGTCATATTGTCAATGACAAAAGGAACCGCCTAGGTAAATTTTGTAGTAGCCTACTTTTGAATTCACATGTCCAAGAACAAAAGTATTTATTTAAGATACGGTATTCTTTACAGAAATAATAAGGCAAATATAATCTGTTTGTCATGCCATGCCGCCCCCCGAATACAAGGGCCCTAAGCAGTTGCCTAGTATGCCTATCAGGACGGACCCTGACAATATGACAGAATGGTTAGAAGAATAACTTATGGATTAAAATGTGAATGTAATGCAGGAAAAATATCTAAAAATGTAATGTCGAGGAAAGTGAGAGGTCACTTTAGTGTTTCTTTCAATTCGCGTCAATTCCGCATCCACCTCTCTCTTATTATCGTCAAGGTTTGTACGAGTATATGACCAACCAAGATCATTAAAACCAGGGGACCTATTCTGTTTCACTTAATACATTTGTTTGTTATGTTGAAATTCTATTACGACTTTAAAAATATTTTTTTTTTTATGCTTTTATTATGCAAATAGAGCAGTTTTTGGGACTCTATAAATAACTTAAACAGAAATTATTTCGAAGTAATTATAAAAACCTTTGATGTAGCTTCCCGTAGGTGACATAATTTTTAAAATCACTTTCATATATTACGCAATCGATTTGATTCCGAATAAAAATTCCCTTTATTGCACTCAAAATAATACACAGTTTACAAGAGCATATTACTTAAGAGATTGATATATGTGCATATAGACTTCCTACCATAACGGTGTAAATCATAAAGCCTTTAATTAGGTACATGTATTATCTATACTAATATTATAAGAGGAGCGATTTGATTTTTGTTTGCTCCGAATAGACCCGGATATATCTCGACCGATTTTAAAAAGCTTCATAAAACGCGGGTAACATTTTATCCGGGCGAAGGGGGAAAACAGCTAATAATAAAATATATCTTTAATGGTAATAATACCATGGTAATAATAAAGTACATGGGGTCTCAGTAAAAAGCGACCCTGACTGACAGTCTACGGTTACTATAAATTAATTCGCTAAGCTTTTTTATGTTTGTTTATGCGTATCGACAAATTGGGGTCAATGAATGAATGTCGCAAGCCAAATTATCTCTCAATAAATGCCGGTTCAACAGTATTAATGTTGTGCGGACAATGTGACCTCCGTAGCAAAGCAGCGGACTCTAAACTTCTGAGGATTCATCATGGAGATGTAATCCAATACCAAACGAACATCACTACAAAGTCACTTTCTCTGACCCTATATCCGTATGTATGCTTAAATCTTTAAAACTACGCAACGGATTTTGATGCGGTTTATTTTTCATATATAGGATGATTCAAAAGGAAGGTTTTTATGTATAATACAAGACCACGCGGGCGAAGCCGCTGGCGAAAGCTAGTTTATTATAAAGAAGAAAAATTGTTTGTTTGCATCGAATAGGCTCCTAAACTACTGGACCAATTTAAAAAAAAAATCCGGACAAGTGCGAGTTGGATTCACGCACCGTGGGTTCTGTACAAACCTTTAGGTATATAATATTATGTGCCTACATGTTATGGATTTCGGAGTTTTTACTTTATATGTGCTATAAAACATTGCTTCATACCAAATTTCAAGATTCTAGGTCGACTGGAAGTACCCATTAGGTTTTGATTGCCTTGCGAATAGTTGCGAGTTTGAAAATATGCGGCCTAAATTGGTGTTAAAGCTTAAAGGTATTATAGACCTGAGTATTTAATATGAATTTCAACATAATACCTCTACACGTTCATGAGGAAAGGGGTACTAATTTAAAATTATTAAAAATAATTTTATTCTATCAAGTAACTAAAAATTTACGGTTTTCGCAATTTTTCGTTTATCTGTGCTATAAAATGTTGCTTCGTACAAATTTTAAGATTCTGTGTTCACGAGATGTAACCCTGTAGGTTTCAATTCCCTTGCGAGTTTCAAAAATTTGTGGCATAAACGGCTGCATTTTTTAATTGCGTTGGCTTAAAAGTTTGATTTTTTCACAGCTCCAACGGACAGTAGACTTAAGTATTTGATATAAACTTCAACTTGATACCTTCACGCGATCCTGAGAAAAATAGTCTTGACAGACGGACGGACGGATAACAACGTGATCCTATAAGGTGCAATTGTTTCCTTACGGAACCCTTAAAATACATACAGGATCCTACATCATACTCGGGTGACGAAGTTGCGGAAAAACTGCTGTTTTATAAATAAAGTCCCAAATCACAATATAATATCTAGTATTCAAATCAACTTACTGAGAGCATTTTTGAATCGTTCAATTTTTTTGGGTATTCATTCGAAACGACGATTTCGACACGTTCTTATCTTATTACAATCTTATCTCTGTATATTGCACGCGCGTTAGGTACGGATTTCAATAAATGAATGCTCTTGACACTAGAAATAAAATGTGATTATCTCATTATAATCCATACTAATCAGCAACATTTCTTAGACTAAGATCCTAAGAGATTTTGCAAATTTTTATGTGATAATTACTACTTGCCTTTTGTCGTTGTATTATCTACCCAATTTAGTCCAATATTATTAGTGCAATGGTATCTTGTCGAGTCAATAGTGACAGATATATTTATTACTAGTGGCAGCCAGCGACTTCGTCCGCGTTTTCCATTATTTCTTCGCTCCTAATAGATACAGCGTGATGTTATATAGCCTAAAACCTTCCTTGATAAATGGTCTATTCAACACAAAAAGAATTTTACAATTCGAACCAGTAGTTTCTGAGATTAGCGCGTTCAAACAAACAAACTCTTCAGCTTTATAATATTAGTATAAATTTTACGAGAGAGCAACAAGAACTGTGGTCATAAAGGATTGTAGGCTAAAGCGCTGACTGACATGACTGACTGACTTTACGTAATTACGCTAAGATTTGCAGAATTGCTCTATTGTTCCTTCTCAGTTTTTGTCAAAGATTTGCTGCATAAATGACTCGGGTACCGAAATAGGGATGACGACTGGGTAAAAAAAAAAGAAATTCTATGTAGTCCATCAGTCAGATGATAGAAAAATATTAAATAAGATTTTTTTTCTACTTCAATTTAACAAGAAACAGTTTAGATAACAGGAATCAATGTTGAGGACGTAACAGTTTTGTAGAAAATGTACAAAAGCGTACGTCATGCGATATTTCAACTCAATGTATCGCTGTAATTTAATGATTACAAAAAAAATAAAAATATACGTGTTTAATATTGAAATGAAATGAAAATATCTTTATTCAAGTAGGCTATTACAAGCACTTTTGAATCGTCCAAAAACATTTTTTTCCCCTACCACTTGTTCAGGACGTCTTTTAGCTGACAAGAAGAACAAGCGAAGAAACTTACCAGCTTTTTATCATAAGTAACTAATGACATTTACATAAATCATGTCATTACCAAAATAATATGTATTATCACAATAATAAATACAACTTTCAAAGTCTGTAGGACATAGGTTGAACATATAATTAGTCTTTATTGAACAAAGCGAAGGCTATTAATTCCATGCATTGCGATCCTTAAAATAATCATCAACTTTATAATAGCCTTTACTCATAAGTATATTCTTTTCATGAATTTGAAATTTATTTATGGGTAGGTCGATTACATTTTGTGGAACTTTATTGAATATAGCAATACATTTACCCAGAAATGATCCTCTAGTTTTTTGAAGTCTGAAGCTTGGAACGGCAAGTTTATTTTTATTTCTTGTGTTATGAACACTACTTTTTTTTGTGAAGGAATCGTAATGTTTTCTTGTGTACATAATATTCTCATAGATGTAGTGAGAGGCAACAGTCAGAATATTTATTTCTTTAAATATTTCTCTGAGAGATTCCCTAGACCGTAAATTATATATAGCACGGAGAGCTCTCTTTTGTAGAATAAAAATATCCTGAATGCTAGCCGCAGAACCCCACAACAATATACCATACGTCATAACACTATGAAAATAACTAAAATATACCAATCTTGCCGTTTCAACATTTGTCAAGAGTCTAATTTTCTTAACAGCATAAACTGCAGAACTCAGTCTATTTGACAAACTATCAATATGAGGATCCCATTGCAGTCGGGAATCTAGGGAATCTATTTCTCAACGATCTAAACCTTACGGACAAATAAAAGTTAGTCCTCATCCCTATTCTGAACAGATTGACAAAAGCTTTCTCTCCAATACAACCCGTTTAGCGTGCATGATACCTAATTTTACTTTATGAAGCTGGAAGTAAAACCAGAGAGCTTTTGAAATAACCCCAGATTCACCTTTTTCTTTTTTATGTGGTTTTTCTTCCGACTTTAAAAAAGAAGGAGGTTAGTAATGCTACTGAAAGGTCATTTTTTATTTTTGTCTACATCCTTCTTCGTCAATGTCTAATATTATTTTTTGGTTATTCTCTTGTGGGTAATTTTTTATCGTGCATTAATTTTTTTCTTATTGTTTCGTTACAGATCAAGTTATAAGGTCCGTCATGTGAATGTGAATGTGCCCAATACTTAATACCAGTGATAATTAGTGATACAGAGCCAAACCAATTAGTATTTGTAAGAGTAAATTATGGACCCGAAATATTTCGATACAGAGCGATCACAAAATCCGAGGGAGAGAGCCAACGTTCTGTCGAAACTCACTTTTTGGTAAGTTCTTTTTTTCTTGATCATAATGTAATCGGTATAGTACAGCACTAGAACTTATGCTAGGCTAGAAGACTGGAATAATAACTGCAGATTCAGGCGGGACTAACGGCTTAACTTGCCTTCCGAAGCACGGAGGAGTTCGTAATACGAAATACGTTTTGGCTACCCGTCACTGACCATTGCCAAAGTTGAACTAACACAAATGAAAATAAAATTAATCTATAGTGATAAAAGATTACTGTATTCATAAAAATATCGTTTAATATAAGTCCTTTTTGATTTACCGCAACCAATTATATTATATAGCTCACTAGCTTGTTCCCGTGACTTCGCCACACATAGCCTAGTGAAAAGAATTTTCATGTTCTGATCAGTATTTTATTGGTATAGATCGTTTGCGACTATGTATTCTCCCGCATTGTAAGATAAAAAGTGTATCTTTTGAATTGTTAAATAGGTACCTATTTTTTTTAATTGTTACATTAGTTTTGCTTACACACGAATCTGATTATCTCTTCATAACAAAATTCAATGTGAGTAATCGATTTAAAAAATATCAATTTGCCCTTTTTATAATTCCAGGTATACACGTCCTGTCTTCGCTAAAGGAAGGGAAGGCCAACTTAGCATATCAGATGTTTACAGGTAAAAATATTAAGCATATCATAGTTATTATACCCTATGCAATCGATTCAGAGATCCTGTCCGACCTTTGTCAACTTTTTTTTACAACGACGGCTGGACAGACTGGTATTCCAATAAATGTATTTTACAGGAAATTTTTGTGATCAGTGCATAACATTTTTCTTATGGTTCAGTGGTTAAATAGATCATATTTACGAAGAAAACTTTTTTTAAACTTATGATAAACTAGCTTTCCGCTCGCCAGCGTGGTATTATACACATACACCTTCCCCCTGGATCACTCTGTATATTGATGGAAATTGTATAAAAGTTCATTGTGTATTGTTATTAGATTATAAAATTTATATTATTATATTCATATTTGTATTATTATTAGGTAACCAACAAACTGTAAGTTATTACTAAAAACGGTTATAGACATGAGTGTGCAGTATTACTGGCAACTTATTTTTATGGACATATTTTTTATCTCCGATGTTATCAGGATAAAAAAGAGAGAAAAAAGGTGAATATCATTCACCTCAATTTTGTTTTGTATATGAATAATATTCTAACAGTGTAACCACACAAACCGCAATCGCGGAGCCCGCATGAGCCGCCGCGGCCATAAACAGTAGCCATCGCAAGTCATAAAGAACTTAATTTTTTATTGCGTACTTAACGCATATCAGCGGCTGTAACGAGCAACTGATGCCATGATTGATCTGTCAAAATGAAGATCAACCGTCATTAGAACAATTAGAATTGGTCTAGGATTTGAGACTTGAGCCGGTATTAGTCTGGTGACAGAAAATTTTACTGTCATATTATCACGGTTCATGATAACTATACATCCTGGTAACAGATAGACAGACAGCGGAGTCTTAGTAATAGGGTTTCCGTTTTTACTAATGGGTACGAAAGCTCCAAAATGAAAAAATATGTCTATAAACACGTTGCTACTTAGAATATCTAATGTAGTCGGAGGTTGATGCAATTGTTAATTGAAAAAAGAAAGATAAACTATAAATATTATTATGGGCTATTAATGACATTAAATCAAAGGAAAAAATTGTACGCTGAGAACAAAAATTGGCCTGTATAATCATTACAAAACTAGTCTTTCTTGAGACTTCGTCTACATTAATTATAGCCGAAGAGATCGTGACAAAACAGTGCAAGAGCTTTCTAAAGGTTGATATTTGAAGCTACATCACACGCGGGTGACAACGAAACAGTTAATGTTTTATATTTCGGTACGTAAAAAATAACAAACGAAGTCGCAAGGCCAAAATAGTCAAGTGGGAAATTATCTGTTATGTTACTTTTTAGTTGCATTGCGATATTGTTTATAATTCAATTAATACCACTACACAGTTGTGGCACGTGTTTATCATTATAGCGACAATAACATTGTTGCACTCTGATCTCTAAGTAATAAATATAATTATGACATGACATATTTGTAATACATGCCTCGTGTGATAAGGTTTGTTTCAGTTTATCTTAAAACAATTCTAGGATACATAAAACGCAAAAAATCTCGGTTTAGCTTCTTAAATATTTATTTTATTCTGTATTTTAGTATTTTTTGATAGATAGATAGATATACAGAAGGATGGACAGCGAAGTCTTACCATAGATTCCCGTTTTACCCTGTGGGTACTGAAATATAAACAAAAAATACATCATTTTTTCTCATAAATTTTCAATATAGAAAAATAAAAAATTTTACACCCAACATTTTTCATTCACGTGTATTCTATTCACAACCATCGTAATAATGTACGCGTCAATATTTTTTTTTGCCTTTTATGCTGTATTATTTGCCACCCGCTGTCCCTGTCTGTTTCAATGATGGATGCAGTAAGATAGACAGGGACAACCTTTCATCTGTACGCCCTCTTTTAAATAAAATAAATTAGAGATTGATTTTGTGCAGGTGTACTGAGGAGCACAGGGCTGCCCCGCGCGGTGATGAGATCGGAAAAATATGGAAACAGGAATTAGAAAAAGAAGGTGAGAATTAATTTATTAACGTAATCTATAAAATAAAAATACTGAGCAATCCTAATTATTTTAGTCAACAAAACGTCAGTATCTAAGTATAAATTGTTGAAAACAGTAGGTTAGACTTGTATAATGAAAACCACAAACAGTATTTAACTCGTATGTATTGAAATCACAGCCTTTAATTAAATAAAATGACACTCTCAATCCTTAATTTAATCGATAATAGTCAAAAGCATTTCGTAAGACACAAATCAAAAGCAGAAAACCACATGTATTTAATTTTGAATTTATTCGCAAACACCAAAGAAGCAATGATAAAATAACATCGCTAAACTTTATTTTAATTTAAACAAACTTAACACAGTTATATTAGTACTTATCTTTTCACCCGGCAAGCCACTCAAAAATAGAGTTACAGATTTATATTATGTTTGTTTAATAAAATTATATTGTAACCTCTGTAATACTTTATTTGACGTCCGTGTGTGTCCATCTATTTTTTATAGTTTTCTATCTTATAAAATTAATTAGCAAACGAATTATGATTTTTAAGCCAAACACACTTCCGTCAATTTACACCATAAATATTATTTATTTTGTAATTATTAACTAGTTTTTAATATTAATAAAGTGACAACAAGTAACAACAAGATTTAAACTAATTAATTTAAATAATAATATTAATTCAATAAGAATTTTAATTTATAATCATAAAAGATCAGTTTCGCCGTCATTTTGCCGGATCTGCCTTACATCATGTTCATCAAAATATAATGTCTTCAAATCAAGAGTGAATAGGGTGTTACTAGGTTAATGCGCTATACCACCCAAGGCTTCATCACCACTTACCATCAGATGGGATCGTAGTCAAGCGTTAACCTATAAAGTATAAAAAAAAATCAATAAATCATCGAGTTCGAATCGATTGTGTATCAAATATCGAATTTCCCTATTGATTTGTATAGACGGAGAGCTCGTTACAAAAATGTCCAAGAGCTTTCAAAGTTCGATATGCATTTGTTCCATCAAAGTCTTGAGTATTTTTTATGAAATATATAAATACTAATAATCTAGTAATGTTTTTTACATTCAAACAAAATTACTCCTAATAGCTTCTTCGGAGCTCATTTTCATACCAACTTCTTAAATCGGCAGAGCTTCACGATTGTACAATTTAGTTTTTTTTTTGTATATCAAGGATAATTTTTTCCCAAATTTTTAACTATTAGCACCTTTAATGAGTTAAGATTTTTCATGATTTAATTGCTCTACCGCCACCAAGTAGCACCTGCAGGGCGATTCTGTAAAAATCCGAGCCCGAATTCGATTTTATTTATGGGTCCGAATTCACATTTAGTGAAGAAGTTCTATTGATTCCATTGTTTTATTAAAATACAAAACAAAATTGATTTATTATACGTGTCTTAGGTATTCTATTCCTATGTCATTTCGAAACTCCCTTCCCTTATGGCACGAAATGTGATTACCAATTCAAGATTGAGTGGATTCCACTTTTTGAAGTGAATTCGGACACCTGAGCGAATTCGAATGCGGGTTTGGATTTTTACAGAATCGCAGGGCAGATCTCTGCACTGGTTAATGTATATCCTTAGTACTTCAACATACTGAAATATCAAGCTTTAGTAACCTCTTGCACATTTTTGTCACGAGGAGAGCCTATTACATGAACCAAAGTTATATTTCAGAAAACAATTTATATAGATAAGATGTTTTATTTTGGAACAGTCTAGGGCTTTGACTACGTGGGATTTGAGTTATGTGTATAATGTTCGTTTATATTTGATTATTATTTGAATATAGTTATTATATTTTTTTTTAACTTCATAATTATATTTGCCTGTTTTAGGGAAAGGCAAAAAGCCGTCCCTCTTGCGCGCCATACTCAGAATTTACGGGTTGCGATTCGTAATTGGAAATCTGATCTTCTCCGTCTGTGAAACTAGTGTAAAGTGAGTATTTTATTGTATACAAAGAACTTGGATGGATAGGAATAGAATAATTTTCTATTGTGACAAAATGTAGGTACATCCAAAATAAATAATATGCTCTACACAGCACCAGACAATAGAAATAACAAAGAAAAATGCAGTACTGTGATCAAAACTGACTCTCATCAGCGTTAGCCCTTTTACGTCCCTACTATAGGGGCTCAGGCCTTCTTTATGGATGTTTTGGGAGGATGGGCCAAGATCCTCCACGTTGACCTTATGTGGATTTGTGGGTATTAACGAATCCAAATGCAGCCAGGACCTACTTACCAGTAGCACAGAGAATCGTGCTTCAGAATGCACGTTACGCAATCTCCTCTCGATTCTCCCTCGCTCGAGATTTTTTCGTCACCAATCCCATACAGACTATCCACTAAACCACCGAGCTACGTATTATTAAAATTTAGCCCTTTTAATTATAAATTAAATTTTATTATTAAAGGAGTTTGCCTTTACCCATACCATATTGCGTCACAGGTACACAACACGCAGGTTTTATTTACCACTGGTATTTTTGACCGTCTCTTTCTGAAAAATACATATTCGATAAATAACGTTCCGTATACAATAGGGATGACGACTGGGTAAAAAAATGCAATCCTATTTAGTCCGTCAGTCAGATAATAGAAAAATATTGGATACGTATTTTTTTTTACTTCAATTTAACAAGAAATAGCTTAGATAACAGGCATTAAAGTTGAGGAGTGGGGGCTCGCTACGTCACAGTACGAGTAGAAAACGTACCCTAACGTGACGTCATGCGAAATTTCAACTCAATGTAACGCCGTAATTACATGGATACTAAAAAAAATAAAAAATATGTGTTTAATATTTCTTTAACACAACCTGACGGACAAACAAACAAAAATTAGTCATCATCCCTATTGCCTTTTTATAAACTGATGATAATCTAATATCTTCTTTAAGGTACCGTCTTAGTTCACAAGTGCATAATGTTAGTGTATAATAATTATTATTTAATGGTATTAAATAGTTTTATCTTATCTAATAAAAAGAAAAATGCGTATTTTATTAAAAACTCAAAACAGCATAACGGACAACTAAATCAGGAACTGTCAAGTGTCTATTGACGTTTATTCCCATACTTTATTTAGGTACTCTTTGTTTATTCCGTTTGAATATATGCTTTACTATTATATTTTTATTAATCTTGCATTCACAATGCCATACTGAAAATTATTCTTAATAAAAAATGCTTAAAAAATCCACTTGGTCCCTGGCACCCTGAGATGGGAATCGAACCCACAACCTTTCGCAATCCGGGTGACTGCATTAACCACTGAGCCACCCAGAACCTAACAGGGCTGACGAATTTTTCAATCATATCAGTGAAGATTATCTATGCATCAGAGGCAGTGTCAGGCCCTAACTTCCATTGCGTCATAAATTATCGAAAACTTTGTTTCCTTGAAGTCGTATTTCGACAATAGACGAAATATCGTTATCAGAAATTAGAATAGGCTTTTATATGTCATGTTAATTCGTATGAGTAAAAAGCCGCTTAACGAATCTTGCGTTTGATATAAGCAGACCCTTATCTGACGTAAAAAATTATATCATTTATTGTTGCGAAATTTCTTTGAAATTTGTGTCCTATCTTGTGTGCAATAAAGTGTATTTTTATAATCTTGTTTCAGGTTAGCAATACCGTTGTGCCTTGAAGGACTTATCAATTATTTCTCACGGTCCCACTCTGGCATACCTGTTACGCACGCGTACTTATACGCCCTAGGTGTAGTAGGGTAAGTTTTTTAAATTGGTCCTTCAAGCCGGATAATCGGTTTATATTTAATTTACTTCGATAAGTTTGCTTGACTAAGATTCTTCATGTGGTCCTTTAATTTATTATTAATAAAAATATTATTATTTATTCAGACTCATGAGCCTCCAAGCGACGATGTTACATCCAACACTTTTGTGGCTACTGGATATGGCGTTGAAAATACGTGTCGCCTGTTGTTCCCTTGTTTATAGAAAAGTAAGGACTACAATTTTGTATTATTTTTAATAGGCGAATGTGATTTTTTGTCATCCCGACCTTCAGAGCACGTTGAAACAAAACTCAATGTAGACAAAAAATCACCGATGTGTATATAGCCTTACATTTTTTGAGATAATACTGTGCTGATTGTCAATATTGTCAATATTGATAAAAATACTACACTCTATACTATATATAAATATTCTCTTATCTTCTAGTTGCTTCGTTTAGATCTGAACGTGGGTGGTAAAGCCACAGAAGGTCTAGCCGGGCACGTAGTGAATCTCCTGACAACGGACGCGCAGAGATTCGACATGGCGGCTCTGTTCGTCATGGACTTGGTCAGAGCGCCGATAGAGAGCGCACTCATTGTGTACCTTATGTACAGGCAGATAGGGGTCGCCACGCTGGTCGGAGTAGCGTTCATATTGTCGTTTATACCGTTACAAGGTGAGTTGATAAGAGTTTTAAGGTTTATTTAAGTGTGATACTAGCTTTCAGGCCATACTTTGTCCTTTCTATCTGCGTACCGAATTTCATTAAATTGGTTCAGTAGTTTAACCGGAAAAACGTTAACAGACACACATCATTAAGATATCTAAGAGTTACTTTCGCATTTATTAATATTAGTACACATTGTGTAACAAATTTGTAGGTTATAAATATAACAGTGTTACAATAAAATGGCTTTTTCAATCGATTTTAAATCTATCCATATTTTCACACCAGAGCGAAGCATGGCCGTTACATTATACATATCGTTCACTGTCTTTTAATTCATTACTCTTTTCTAAATATTCATTGGTTTTATTAGCTTATGAAACAACCTTAAAAAAATGCTTGAACAACTTGATCTTAAAAACTTCTGCATCTTTTAACTTTCCAGCTATATAAATACATACTTACTTTTTACAGGGTACCTCGGTAAAATATCTAGCAAGTTGCGTCGTAAGACAGCAATCAGGACTGATAACAGGATACGTATGATGAACGAAGTGATACAGAGTATAGAAGCTATCAAGATGTACGCTTGGGAGAATGCTTTCGCCAAGATCATTGGCCATGCAAGAAGGTTAGTGGAAAATAATAAACCAAAATGTAATTGTTTAGATATATGAAGAAGCCTGTTATATGCTATTATGCTAATGTTATTATGAAAGCTTAAATAAATGAGAATGGTCATAGTAAATTTAATACACATGAAATGGTGCTTTAATCTAAGTTCTCTTTACAGAAAAGAAATGAATGTTATCAAAAAAATGTCATGGCTCCGAGCCGTTATGATATCATGCGTTAAACTGAATACTAAAGTCGCCATATTCTTAAGCATAATTTCATTCATATCATTTCAAAACGAACTTACCGCAGCCAAAGTATACGTAATATTTACATACTATGAAATGCTTAAGTATAACTTGGTAGATTTTCTACCGCTAGCGATAACATTTACGTTGGAAGCATACGTAAGTGTGAAAAGGATGCAAGAGTTTTTGTTGCTGGCTGAAGTCAATAATCAAGACGGCGTAGATTTGGTTACGATAGATGAGAAACAGCCTGTTTCTAACGGAGTGTTTGAGAAGATTGGAAATGGGTAAGATTTTTTATGTGTTTGATTCAAATAATGAAATGATAGCGTCATTTATTTATTTACTTGGTGGGTTCCGTAAGAAATATGTATTTTAGAAAATTCTATTTGTTAGTTTACCACATTATTAAGTTATCATCTATATAGCTCAATTGGAAAAGGAATTTATTTATTTTTATTTATATGAATAAGAGTATTCTTTTATAATTAGCTCATATTTCTAGCCAACAGACATACATCAAATCGGAAACGGATCTGGAAATGTCAAAACCACCTGTGTTATTGTCGATGCAAAACTATACTGCGCACTGGAGAAATGCCGAAGACGAGTCTTTAGATAAGAAAGTTGTTGCACTCATGGATATCAATTTAACGGTAATGTATTTTTTATAGGTAATTTACTTTCGTCATTACGTAAACAGTGATCTTTTTATAGCGACAAATTAATTAGTCTTTTAAATAAATAGTGACACCATCCTTTATGCAGTGACCATTTTTATAGTACGTATATTCTTAGTTTTCCCTTTCTTAAAGGTTTTAGTCGCAATATATTTATTTAAATTATTAATATTACTTGAAAAATTCGTAAAGCGGTTTTTTTCTAACGTCTTCATTATTTTTTAGATAAAACCGGAAACTTTGACAGTAATCGTAGGTACAGTAGGTTCTGGCAAATCAACGTTACTACAAGCTATGTTAGGGGAATTAACACCGACCAGTGGATATCTGCAGACCAAAGGAAAAATCGCATACGCCGCTCAAGAGCCCTGGCTTTTTGAAGCATCGGTAAGTTAGATATGGTGTTACTATTAGCTGTAATCTTCGTAAATATTCGTGGTCAAAGAGAAATGCCTAAGAACTTTTTTAACAAAACAGCTTCCGGCCTCTTCTTAATTTATCTACAAAGATTATAGCACTACGACCGTCTATTGTGAAGTGACAGAAACAAACATCCAAGCTTTCCCAATAGTATGGATGAACAAAACGACTGCATACTCCTATCTGGATAATTCATCACAAATACGTTTATTAATTGGTCTTAAACTTGTGTGCTGAAGCTGTTGCAAATAAAATAACGGTAATTTAACAGACGAGTTCCATTTTTCAACTTCATAGTGAAACTTGTTTCATTTTCCAAGGTTCGTCAGAATATTCTTTTCGGTGAAGATATGGATCTACGTAGATACAAACAAGTGATCAAGTGTTGCCAGTTGACAACTGATTTGGAAATATTATCCCATGGCGACAAGACTATCGTAGGAGAGAGAGGTAAGTTTATTTATTTGAAACTACATTTATAGCAACGTCAAGTTGACTACAAGATCTATTTTTTAAACATTTCCTATTTCCATTAACTATATACTAAATGAAAAATAGCTACATCATTTATGCATTTACTATTATTAGCGGGATATAATTATGTACGTTTTCAGGCGCCTCCCTCTCCGGTGGTCAGAGGGCGCGAATATCACTAGCTCGATGCGTTTATCAAAACGCCGACGTGTATTTGTTGGACGATCCGTTAGCTGCAGTCGACGCTAAGGTAATATACAATTTATTTTTATATGTGACTGTTACATTAGGATTTAATTTATTTAACAGTTTAACTTTGTCAAATGATAATAAAGACACAAAATTTCCTCGTAGCAATATATACTGGCATATATTATGATATACAGGAGGAGGATTGTTTAAAAATTACATGTGACTACGGAATGACGTCCGAACAAACCCAAATTAAAATTGGAAAAATAAATGTTTAATTTTTAAATTTGTAAAGAAAAATAAACGAAAGACTGGGGAAATATTATCCAATCTTTCTTTTATCTTTTATCCAATTAAGAAAAAAATATTTTCAAATGGTACAACAAAATTGGCACCATTAAGTTTTATAGTTAATACCGTTATTACTATCTCTCAGGTAGCGCAAGCTATATACGCAGATTGTGTCCGCGGTTTCCTCAGATCCAAAGCGGTGATATTGGTCACCCATCATGTGCAGTACGCGGCCCACGCCGACCATGTGGCCGTCGTGAGAAATGGACAGGTTTGTTAACGTTACAATTTTATAATTATTATTTAACTTGGGCCGGAAAAAAGTTAACAAAAATGTATAAATTTTATAAGGTAAATATTATTCATTGAGAATATTTCAAGATATATAATTAAGGAGTGCGTATGCTTTTTGTCCTTGTTCTTCCCGTGCGCCGAGATACTTTAAAAAAATCTCAATTAATTAAAATTTATATATTCTTCTTGCAATTAATTTTGTAATTTTAGCTTTACAGCCTTTTTATGATTATTAAAAAATTGCCAATGAACATATACATTTTTATTATATTTCTAAAAGTACATTTTTAAATCCCAATAGATTGTAGCACAAGGAACATATCAACAACTGAAGAACGGAGCCAGTGAGTTTGAGAAGTTAGTGGAAGTGTCGGAGAGGGATGAAGAAGAGAAACAGAAGCAGAAAGCTGTTAACTATGAGAATCAGGAGACTGTAGTAAGTTGTCTTTTTAATAAGCAGATGAGAATGAGAGGCGAGAGTGGAAAAGATTTGGCAATAACAATCACTTGGTAGTCTATAAGAGAAATTAATAGATAAAGAGAGAGTAAGAGAGATGGGTATATACATAGATGATGAAAAGTTGTAGTTAAAAAGCCAGCAGTAGAGATATTTCTGGACTACATAAGTGATAAAGGATGTTCGATTAGTTTTAAAAAGGCATATAAACAGTGACTCAAATAGAAAAGTACAATTTAATTAGGGAATGCAATCTTGTTCTTTCTTAGCGAGATTGATCTCGACCAAAAAATCTGCGACATATCGCGAGTTTAATGAGATAGTACTTTAGCATATAGCATATGCATATGCTAAAGTACTATCTCAGCTTATTTGAAGAACGGACCTCAAATTAAAACATGTCTGGGGGGGGGAAGCGACAAATGCGAAGTTTTAATGCACTTTTTAATCTAAAAGGGCTTTCCCAGTAGCTAATTATTTGACCAGCACAATAAGAAGCGTTTAGCAGACGTTTTTTTGGTCATTTAGTGCGTCTTAACATACGTAATAATGGCGTGAACAAACCTATAATTTAATTGGTACGAGTATTTTGTTATTCTTTAAATTATTATAGGTCTCTGAGTAGGGATAGTTTTCTTTAATTGATAATAATATATCAGTTTATCAGTCCACTAAGATAATAGGTTTCATTTTAGTTTTTGACTTGTTTTGTTATAAAACTACTGTTTTATTGTTAAGTTTGATGTTGGAAAAGAAGACTGGTTGTTTACTTAATTTCTTATTTGATCAGATACGTTTACTCCTTAAAAATTTACAGTATAGAATCATAGAAATAAATGTTTATTTCATAATACCTACGATTCTTATCAATTTTTTCCTAATTTGTTGAAATATTGTGAATATTTGCAATAATAAACACACAGAAGTGCCAATCTCGCGAAATCTCAGAATTGGCGAAATCTCACGGGATAAATATTCATAAACTCGCGGGATCTTGCCCGAGCCCCAATCTCGCGAGATTGCATTCCCTAATTTGAATATATGAATGAAAGACCAGATGAATCATATCAATCCGAGCCGATGGAGGATTTTCTTTACACCTTGCAAATGACTAATAAGTGATACAAGAATTCTGTAGATTCTCATATATTTTTTATACAATTCGGATTGATGTGCGTTTAACTTAAAGTGTAAATAGTTGATCGAAAGCGAAAATAATTATTACAAGAATTCTATAAGACTATCGGAGAGTGATGGTGTGGCGATTTTCGGTCTTATTTCAATCGTTATAAAGATGATAATGCTTTGATAGTGAGAGCTACTCTGTTTTCCGTAATGCTACATGTAACACAAGGTTATACATCCAGTTACATTTGTCGAGTCTTTGGGTTAAGTTCAATTTACAGTTAATAGTACAACGGACTATATGAAAGTGTAAATTGAATATGAACCTTAATTTTTTAAGAATAGCTTTCAAAATTGATTCTAGAAATCGTAACCCGATGGGTTGCTATAAGTACACCCCTAATAGAGCGATGCATTGATATTAGTTTCGTATAAAACTATTGCTGAGTTAAAATTAAACTTAACTATATCAAAATATCTCACATTGGACTGTGAATAATGTAATTACTTCTTTCGAAGGTGTTTAATGTGATCGTGAAACCGGAAGATAACAAAATGGCACTCAAAAGAAGCGTTAGTTATTATTCATACATTATTTTATAATATCCAGTAGTTAGTACTAACGGTATGCTATTTTTGCGAAAGCTAAGCAGTTTTTACAAAGACCGGTTATGAGATGGGTGGGCAAAAATTATTAACTTGAACTATTCTGTACTTCAGAAGGCATATTAAATCGTTGTCATCATCATCAGTCCTTTTTACGTCCCCACTGCAGGGGCTCAGGCCTTCCTTATGGATGGTTAAGGAGGATGGGCCATGACCCTCCACGCTGGCAATGCGGATTGGAGGGTATTAACGACTGCAAATGCAGCCGGGACTAACGGCTTAACGTGCCTTCCGAAGCACGGAGTAGCTCGAGATAATAATTTTTTGGTCACCCATCCCGTGACCGATCCTTGCGAAAGTTGTTTAACGACTACGATCGCGGGCCGCGGCGCTTATCCACTACGTCACCGAGCTACTCAATCGTTGTAACCAGTTTAAACTATAGTTATTAACGCCAACTAGTCCCCATTGGGCTCACTTTTCCATCCATAGGATAAGCTTCTGTCCCAGTAGAGGAGACATGGGGACATAAATAGTTTGACGATAATGATATATTCAATTTTGGTGTAATGTTTTTGAGTTGATATTCCGATACTATTACTGTTCAATACACTAGTACCGTCAACTTTTGGTTTCATTTATTTTAAACTTTCTGATAGAAACCTGAAATCAATTAAATCCATAGATCAATAAATTAGTTATATCACATTATAAGCGCAACATATGTAATCATTAAAAAAATATATATGTATAGTCTAAAATAATGAAACTATAACGTTCCTTATTGACACCAATATATTGCATATTGAGTTTAGAGCTGTATCGTATAAACCTTTTTTTCAGAGAGTTTACACATATACTATTTAAATTATGCGCTTCGGCTATATTCGTCAAACTTCGGCAATTATAATGTATTTTAAAGATATCTATATAAAGTTGTTATTACATAATTAATCATTTCAAATAAGGTAATTTGGCGTATTACAGCTCTATACAATTCTTTATACTGAAATATTGTGTGCTGTCACTTCCATCACAGTCGAGGTACTGTTGAGTTTTGGCGGCTAAAACGACGATCACACATTGGTCTCTTGATCGGTTAAATTCGTAAACACGAAATATACCGAGGCGCATAATTTAAATAGTACCTTGTGTACCAATAGATGGCGCTTTCTTGGGTAGTGTTATAATACTCTATGTGATGTTTTACTTTCATTGAAGAAATCTTGTTGATTACCCGATCGCGAAGTTTGAATACAGTTTAAAAAGACTTTAATTTACCATCAGGAACACAATTACAAACTTCGATCTCAGAGATCCATGTCTGAAGCGTCCCAGTTGTCCTTCAATCTGGATTTGGATAACAATTTGGATCCCAAATATGAAGGTGAGTAAATTTTGAACGAAAACGATGCATTGTATCATATTGCGATGAGTACAAAGTGAGCACACTTTTATTATTACTTTCTATTAATGTTGGTACCGGTCAAGTGCGAGTCGGATTCTCTCGAAGGGCTCCGTACCGGAAACTAGCAAAAAAAAATGTCTGTAATATGGAGGGCTCGCCTTAAATAGCGGCAGCAGAAATTAATTACTACTAATTCACGGTCCATGATCCGCATCTAATGAGATACAGCCAAGTGACAGACAGATGGACGGACGGACAGCAGAGTATAGTAATAAAATCCCGTTCTTAGTTATATAATTAATAATGACTCTTGTTAATATAACCAAAAGGCTTATATTGGTATCTTCTCAGTTGAATCTTTCTGATTGGTCGATATTTGCCGTCGTAATTAACTCCTCTGTGCAGATAATATAATAGAACACCTGAGCGTACGATCAGTCCAGCACTGATTTTATGACTCACAAAAATGGTAAGTATGCATGATCGAAAGTATACATATAAAAATTTTCTGTTAACATTAGGTGAGAGTCAACACAAAGGTTCTGTTGCTAAGGGAGTTTACATGGCTTACATCAAAAGCGGTGGCTCCAAGTGGACGATGCTGCTGCTAGTCTCCTTGTTCATAATCGCTCAAGTGTTCTACTCGGCTACTGATATATGGCTGAAAGAATGGTGAGTGAGATGTCCGAGTCATACGAGTTGTTAATGGATAGGATACCTAGCAGAAATATTTGAGTATCTTACTTTAAATGGACTGTCTATTATTAGTAAAATAAAATAAAAAATTGAAAAGGAATATTAATTTTTTTTAATAAATTATTAAAAAAAAGTAGATTTACAACGTCATAAATTAATAAGGAAACTATAAAATCGTCTGCAAAGTAACCGGTTGATTCAGTACCACATCTTTTCTAATCTAATATTTTTTTTATTGACCGAAATTTTTTTATTAAAGTTTTTTTGATGTCGTCTGCCGTCCCTAATTTTACTAATTGAACACGTAACTGTTATCCTGAATAATTTGTCTAATCCTAGACTTATCCTGATTGGTTGCCGATAGTTTAATCAGAACTTCGGTTACACAGTACAGCCAGCAATCATATAATATTACATTACAAAAAAAATATATATAAATAAGTCAATAAAATGTTGGTAATAGTTATTGATATTAAAGAATAAATATATTCCAGGGTAAACATTGAAGAGGAACACAGTGCCACTGTGAGGAAACAAACCAATACAACGGGTGGAGCGACATCAGGTTAGTCTATATTAGTATATATATATTTGTGGCGACATCTATATAATTGCGCTAACATCATCACAACATCGGACCAATGCTTGAAAAAGAAAGTTACCTAGTAACTAGATGCAAGAAAGTTACCTAGTCACTCCTTTTAGCTATAACTCTGGCCATAAATTAATCTACTAAAAGATATGTCAAAGTAGTAAAATGAAACGAAAAGTTGTCATAATATTCGCTAAGCTGTGTGATAGTGTGTTGACATTTGCATTACATTATATAAATATAAATTTAAGTTGTTTTGTTTTGATTAAATTATTTGTTTAATTTGACTTGATTAATTGAATTAATTTTGGTTCTATTGATTTAATTTATTACTATTGATTTAGTGTTTAGGATTTGAATGTGCAATAATATAAATAAATGAATGTTGTGTATGTCTGTAATTGTCATATGTATCAGAAATTGTAATTGTTTAAATATTGTATTATAAAGGTTAAATATGTATGATGTTGACGTACCTAATTAAATAATAATAATAATAATAATAGCTTTCGTATCTTATGGCTAGAGAGTTAGACGGTGGTACTTCAAGCCTGCGCCTCATCAATGGTATTATATTATATTTGATCAATTTGCATTCACAATTATATACTGAAAAACATTCCTTAATGAAACTACTTAAAAATCCACTTTGTCGCTGGCACTCTGCGTTGGGACAAAGTGTTTTTTTTAATTTATTTTTTTTCATTAGGAATATATTGCAGTTGGAATTTTGTTTTTAGGTGTTATTTACGAGGAGCTGCCGCACAATCGCTTCGCTCTCTCCCGTGAGCAGTGTATATATGTGTACGGCACCCTAATAGCCGTATGTGTCTTATTTACATGGAACAAACTGGTCGTATTCTATAACACGTGTATTAGAGCGTCTGTGACACTGCATGATACCATGTTCAGGTAAATGAATCAGTCATCTGTACTTATTTTATAAAGAGGTAATCTTCGGAAATGCAGATCCGTTCATAAAAGTGCTTTCACATACGGGAAGCTACATCATACGCGGGTGACATAGGGTGTAATTTACACAGGCGAAGTCGCGGGAAAACAGCCTGTTGTAAATAAATATCAGACGACATCACATACTTTGCTCAGATCTCAAATTAAGTAGCTAAAGCATTTGTAGTATGGAAATCTGAAACAATGAAGGTATCACAACACTCAAACATGAGACTATATAGAAAAGTTCATTTATTACATTGAACCAACCAAAAATCGACTAGTGACACTCAGGAATTCCAGTGGTTTCCGAACCTATTCATTTGCAAACAAACCAACAGCTTATTAGATAATATGACATATTCGATACACAACTGGATAAACAAAAGGGATGAAAGTGATTTCATTAGACTTTCCATCACAATTTCAGATAAAAAAAGATATTTTTTTTCCATAATCGCAGCTTCTTAGCAGTGTGATTTTTTTTAAATATTTTTGTATATTTTTTCCAGGGGTGTAACAAATGCTCCAATGTGGTTCTTCCATCACAATCCGTCCGGTAGAATATTGAACAGATTCTCTAAAGATATGGGACAGACTGATACATTGCTTCCGGTAGCTTTAGTGGACTGTGCCGGGGTAAGAGGCCACTTTTCTTTTTATTATCAACTAGCTTTTGCCCGCGACTTCGTCCGCCGTCCGTTTTTTAGGGAATACCTATATAATATACAATATAATAGTAGCTGTATGCATGCAAAGTCTCAGCCCGATCGGTTTAAAATTGACAAAGTTTCATACAAACTTTCATCCCCTATTTTATCTCCTTGGGAATAGAATTGATCAAATTCTCTTCTTAGAGGATTCCTACGTCATAACATCTACCTGCATGCCAAATTTCAACCCAATCCGTCTAGTGACTTAGGCTGTGCGTTGATAGATCTCTATGTCAGTCAGTCACCTTTGTGTTATATGTATACATATATTTAGAAGATTAACAATTAGAATTTACTTCAAAATCGAACTTCAATACGACTTCAATAGAAGTTTCTTGGTTAATTGAACCGTTAATAAATATTATTTCTTACTTTTTATACAGTTTGAAGTCTATTATACATCATTAAAACAAATTTTATGTTATATTTGTGGTACTAATATGGTGAAAGTGACTAAATACGTTTTTTAAGTCGGTTGAAATACCAAAGTTTTCTCCTAAGTGTAATAAATACTTTTAGAAAAACCACATCAAAATTGGTTCAGCCAAACGCGAAATAATCGCGGACTAACTACATATAGCTCCCTTACTCTCAAACGCAATTGCGATTGTTTCGCTTCGCACTCTTGATTGGTTCACTAGCTTACTCTGGCGCTATATACCCCATCAAGAGTACAAAACGGTACAATTGCAATGTCGATGTTAGCGTTCGAGAGTAAGGGCAGCCCTTACTGTCGAACGCAAACGCGATCGTTCTAATTAAAAACCTCCTTTTCGAAGTCGGTTAATAATTTTTGATTTGATGATTTCTCGGCAGTTTTTCCTGGAAGTGGTGTTCATATTGATTGTTGTGTGTTTGGTGAACTGGTGGCTGGTGCTGCCCACTACCATACTGGTGGTGTTCCTCGTGATGTTGCGTAATTTGTACGTGTGCACCAGCCGAGAGCTCAAAAGAATAGAGGCCATCGGTGAGTTGTCGTTATAACTGGTTTTTTATATTTTGTTTGTTACTAAAACTTCTATACTACAAATATACTCAATTCGTCTGTTTTATGTACATATCGGAATGACGTCATAGATATGGCATCGTCTTCGCGGCATGATTTAAATTTAACGCAAGAAAACATATTTATTTTTCCGTAATAATTTTTAAACGACTAGAAAGTTTACTCTACTACATATAACAAAACATTAAAATTCTTAAATTATAATAATATAAATAATAAAAAAATAAGAAGTATTAAAAAAAGCGAAAGCACTAAAAAGCACCTCCACTAGATGGCGACTGTAGCAAAAGTTGATTTTTGCAGGAATCAAATGGAGCAAAGACAGTCATTTCTGTTCCTTTTAACTAACATATTAAAAAACTGAAATTTGAAAAGTTCGAAACTTACACATCAATACAAATACGAAAAAGTACAAATAGAATATGAGTTACTTATTGAGTTTTGAAAACTAATTTACTTTTAAATTTGAAAATAAACTGGAAAGGTTTTCATGGAAAAATGAAGAACATATTGTAGCGACATCTAGTTTGATTTCGGGAACTAATATATATTTTTTAAATACTTCCTCATTCCGAAACAAATTTTCGTATTTTTGTCGTTGATAGCAAAGTTACCCATATTATTTTTTATTTGTTGTTCTATCTATAGAATGAATAAATGTGTTGCAATTATATTCAATAGTTTATTGTGAGGAAACTTTAGTGATTACATTTGGTCCTGTTCATTCTTCCATCATTCATCATACATTTTTTCCAAAATTTATGAATGCAGTTCGAAACTATCTAAGCTTATGTATTTTTTTTGGATGATTTTCCACCTCGTATTATTTCTATTATATTTCTTTGTTATTTTTAAAATTGAAGACGCATTTGACTGGTTTAAAAGTAGACTTAGGCTAGTTTTTGGCAACAGAGCTACTACAAAATAGTAATCGGGTGGTAATATGTCCGGTCAGCCCGCAGCCAGTCGCTGAACCACGCGGCGGCGACCGTGTCCGGGCTGAGCACGATCAGGTCGTGCGGGCGGCAGCAGCGCACGCTGGCGCGCGAGTTCGACGCGCTGCAGGACCTGCACTCCTCCTCGTGGGCGCTCGTGCTCGCCACCACGCGCGCCTTCGCCTGGTGGATGGACATGCTCTGCTGCGCCTTCCTCGCCTGCGTCACCGCCAGCTTCCTGCTGATGCCCTCACACGGTGAGTACACTGCAGGTGGACGTGCTCTGCTGCGCCTTCCTCGCCTGCGTCACCGCCAGCTTCCTGCTGATGCCCGCACACCGTGAGTACACTGCAGGTGGACGTGCTCTGCTGCGCCTTCCTCGCCTGCGTCACCGCCAGCTTCCTGCTGATGCCCGCACACCGTGAGTACACTGCAGGTGGACGTGCTCTGCTGCGCCTTCCTCGCCTGCGTCACCGCCAGCTTCCTGCTGATGCCCGCACACCGTGAGTACACTGCAGGTGGACGTGCTCTGCTGCGCCTTCCTCGCCTGCGTCACCGCCAGCTTCCTGCTGATGCCCGCACACCGTGAGTACACTGCAGGTGGACGTGCTCTGCTGCGCCTTCCTCGCCTGCGTCACCGCCAGCTTCCTGCTGATGCCCGCACACCGTGAGTACACTGCAGGTGGACGTGCTCTGCTGCGCCTTCCTCGCCTGCGTCACCGCCAGCTTCCTGCTGATGCCCGCACACCGTGAGTACACTGCAGGTGGACGTGCTCTGCTGCGCCTTCCTCGCCTGCGTCACCGCCAGCTTCCTGCTGATGCCCGCACACCGTGAGTACACTGCAGGTGGACGTGCTCTGCTGCGCCTTCCTCGCCTGCGTCACCGCCAGCTTCCTGCTGATGCCCGCACACCGTGAGTACACTGCAGGTGGACGTGCTCTGCTGCGCCTTCCTCGCCTGCGTCACCGCCAGCTTCCTGCTGATGCCCGCACACCGTGAGTACACTGCAGGTGGACGTGCTCTGCTGCGCCTTCCTCGCCTGCGTCACCGCCAGCTTCCTGCTGATGCCCGCACACCGTGAGTACACTGCAGGTGGACGTGCTCTGCTGCGCCTTCCTCGCCTGCGTCACCGCCAGCTTCCTGCTGATGCCCGCACACCGTGAGTACACTGCAGGTGGACGTGCTCTGCTGCGCCTCCCTCGCCTGTGTCACTGGCACACTCACACTCATCATCGACAGCCTTTTCACGTCCTCACTGTATCTCACCGTATACATGGTTGAGGAGGATGGGTCATGACCCTCCACGTTGGCCCAATGTGAATTGAAGGTCACCAACGACCTTTCAAAGCACATATAGCTCGACAAAAATTTTTGATCACCCATCCTATGACCGACCCTTGTGAAAGTTGCTTAACAACAACGATCGCAGGCCGCGCGACTTATCCACTGCGCCACCGAGCTATTCAGTAGTGAGTACACTACAGGTTAATAATCTTGTTAGGGGATAGGTAGTATATAGTCTTGTTAGGGGATCAGTTACATGACTGTGATGGTGATAGATCGGTAAGCTTTCTTTACCAGCGTCTCTTAGTTAAACGTTTCTTAGTTAAACCCACGAATAACAGATTACATATGCACAGGCATGTCGAGTGCGATTTGGAAAGGGATATGCACTAAATGCAGTGTTAGTCGTGATGTCGTATCGGATAAAGGTCTTCAACTGCAATATAACTAGCTCCTGATACATGCGCAAAGCAAGGTGCGCGTATATTGATTGTGGTTTGAAACGGAATGGGTGACCGATGACAATCACCCGTGCGAATATATAAAAGGTCTCAATAGAATTTAGATCGAGCTGATTGTGACAATAAAAAATGTGCATGCATCTCAGCCAAAGTTGTGAGTTCGGATGGGTGACCGGTCGTTATGTTACAGAGACGGTTGGTGGCAACGTGGGGCTCGCCATCACTCAGGTGCTCGGTCTGGTCGGCATATGCCAGTACGGCATCCGGCAGACCGCCGAGGTGGAGAACCAGATGACAGCGGTGAGTGACGTTACCGTTGTTTTCTTAAAGCCTATGTCACCCGCGAATGATGTAGCCTCCCTTGGGTGAAAGCATTTTTATATCCTCGATAATTACTGCTATAGGTTACAAAGTATTTATTTTCTATGTCAGGTGGAAAGGATACTGGAATACAAAAACTTACCCCCGGAAAGTCCCGTGGAGCCCGACGAGATAGCTTTGAAGAACAAACACCCTGGATTGGATCTGAACAAATGGCCAACTATTGGTAAGCATTTCTATTTATGTGAACGATCACTGCATATTATGAAACCAAGACCCTCTCCACGTCTGTGTGTTTGTTCGCGAAAATTCGAAAAGTACTGGACGAATTTTCATACAGTTTTCAATAATTGGTAGATTTATTCCTGAGGAAGGTTTTAGTATATAAAAAATTAAATGAGTGACGTTTAATAATCACTAACGATATTAGTTAAACGTGTGAAAAAATTAAGCCGATCGGAAGCTTTCCTCGAAAACGCTGCCAAAACCTTCGGAGTTGTAACAAAACAATGTATGGTGGGAATTTACCTCTTTAATCTTGTGAATTATTTAAAATTGATTATTCTAAGACAAAACTTGAGAGATGCTTCTTTGTATTTTAACATAGTTGAGTTTGAATAATTTTTATTGTGATTTTGTATTATTAATATAAAAATGAATCGCCGATATGTATGTACGCGCCTTCCGAACGACTGCATCAAATTGGATAATTCCTTTTTTATGTTTTCTTTACTGTCAGGTCAGGGAAAAGTTTGCATTTAAGAAAATTTATTAAAAGGCTCCCCAGTCTCGACTGGAGAAATAAAATATGGCGGTATAAAGATCGCCGGGTCACCTAGTGATAGTATAAATAAGTGACTTTCATCGACTTTACCTTAACTTCATTTAAATTAACTTATATTTTTATTGATATTTTCAAAATTAATTGTGCTCACAAAATTACAGAAATAATTTATATATATATAAAAACAGAACTAGTAATAAATCTTATTTTATATAGGAATTTATTTTTAGTATGTATTAACATTTTAATATATAAAAATGTCTGAGTGAAATCGACATCATATTGGATTATACAAAATTGCAAAATGTTATCACAATCGGTTTTAAGCCTTCTGTAGTTGAAAATAGAGTTCAATGTACATAAATTAATTTCCATTCTTATTATTTTTATCTTACCTTATAATTTTTTTCCCGTCAAGATTATAAATATAGTTGCATACTTCCTGTCTTCTACATAAACTTGATGTATTTTTATGTTGTACACATTTGTTGCTCAAAATGTAGAAGAAAATAAAATAAAGATTATTATTATTATTATACCATTTGTGTAATTTTTATTGCAAAAAAGAATATATAAGTAGTGTTAGGAAATATTGCATTTTAATAAATAAATAATTTTTCCTAAATACAAACATTATTTTAGGAGAAATTGTGTTCGATGATGTATCGCTCGAATACGAGAAACAACCGAAGAAGGAGATAGTCACATCTGAAACCGTTAAAGATGAACCGGCCCTGGCCATCAGGGGCGTCAGTTTTACAATAAAAGGGGCGGAGAAAGTGGCGGTTGTTGGCAGAACCGGTGCCGGCAAGAGTTCCTTGGTTAGCGCGCTCTTCAGGTAAGAATAACATTTATAAGTACATTTCATTTCGAGATAAATATTATATAAAAATCGTTTGCCTAAAATCATTTACAATTTCAGCTTTATTGAATATGTATGTATTTCTTTATAATGGAGAAAAAAATATATAAATTCGGTGGAAAATATTTGAATTCGAAAATCAAATTTGAAACGCTGTATAAATTTGACACGTTTACACGCCGCCATTTTGCGTGAGCTTTTAATGACGTCAGATGTCATGTCCTGTGTTTGTTTATTGTAGGCGTTTTACATATTTTCTTCGATTATAATTTATAATTGATATTTAAGTCATGGATGAAACAAAAACCATTTAGTTAGATCAACGCTTAATGCTTTTCAACTCATTAAATGCGGTTATTTTATATGGCGTCTTCGGTGTGCAAAACTGTAGTGTTTCACAGAAATTGCTCTGAAATATTTCAAATTCCTTGTGTACAGATTGAACCGCATAACCGGTAACATATACGTGGACGGAGTGAACGCCGAATGTACCGGTTTACGCACGTGGCGGTCGCGGCTGTGTGCGTTACCCCAGCGGGCCGCGCTGTTCGCCGCCACGCTGCGGGACAACCTCGACCCCGCCGGGATATACAGCGATGCAGAGATACACCGCGCGCTGCAGCAGGTATAATCGCTGTTTAGTGATAAGATCGCCGATTAAATTTGGTGTTTACAATAAAGTGTTATCTATCTATACTAATATAAAGCTGAAGAGTTTGTTTGTTTGAACGCGCTAATCTTAGGAACCACTGGTTCGAATCCAAAAATCCTTTTTGTGTTGAATAGACCATTTATCGAGGAAGATTTTAGGCTATATAACATGACGCTGCAACTATTAGGAGTGAAGAAATAATGGAAAACGCGGACTAAGTCGCTGGCGGCCACTAGTCTATCTATAATATATAAGTGCCTATCTCCGGGATAACCTCAACTCCGCCGGGATATTTTGTTAATATATTTTTTTTTTTGTTAAATTACTTCTGTGGTATGTTTATTACTTATTTGAAAATTTATTGCACAGGTTAATTTTTATCTGTATTTTATTGTGTCAATGAGTTAATATTTATGGTAAGTGAAGTTTCACAGAGGGCGGAGGCTGCAAAAAAATGATATCCTAAGTTTATGCTCGTCCGCATGCCTCAAACTCGCACTGTTGTGTAATGCAAGTGAATGCTCTATCCGTCTCGTTTTGGATAGGTGGAACTGAGCGAGATGGTGGGCAATATGCCCGCCGGGCTGAACACCAAAGTGGGCGACGGTGGCGGCAACCTGTCGGGCGGCCAGCGGCAGCTCATATGCATGGCGCGCGCCGCCCTCGCCGGGGCCAGGGTGCTCGTGCTGGACGAGGCCACCGCCAACGTGGACTCCACGTGAGTGTGGCCGCGCAAGGGATGGGTGGCCGGCCTTGTGTATGCGTGGCGCAGCATGAGGCCGATTTTTATATTTGTAGCCGAGTGGCTCGCACGCCGGTTTCGAGTTGTTGTCATCTCTGCGGTGCCGGGTTCGATTTCCAGTGGGGTTAATGTAGAAAATGAACTTTTCTATATTGTCTCGGGTCTGGTGTTGTGGTTCAGTGGCTTTAGTTATCAATTTTGAGCAGTATATGTGATGATATTTATTTATATTTTATTATTTATTTTTTGTTTCCGTATATGATTTTTTTGTTTTAATTCAATTAGGGATTTTGAAACACGTCCGTCCCATCGTAGTCTATAAACTGTATGAAAAGAATTTTTTTACTGTAAGTAGATATTCATAATGATGATTTTGGCGCTCCCCTAATACTGCCCCCCCTGGAAATGCAAATTCAACCGCGTGTGCCGCGAGCGGGATGGATTGTAAATTATCTTTTCAGCTCCTTTTTCTCCTAGTCTATAGTTTAATGTATGCTATATCCTTTACCCCGCAGGACGGACAAACATATACAGGATACTATAAGAAGCAAATTCGCCGACTCCACAGTCCTGACTATAGCTCACCGTTTGAATACCGTCATGGATTACGACCGTGTGATCGTTATGGACAAGTGAGTGAATTGTCGAAAACTAAATTGTAAATACCTAATTACTAAAACAACACGGCGTATAAATTTAGCGATTTTGAATTGTATGTCTGGTCATTCAATGGGAGATATTACTCAAAGCACGGCATATATGGCAGCAATAGCATTTGTATATAACACAGTCGCTAAACAAAAAAAAAAAAAATTCATACAATGACCGGGCATAAATAATGCTTTTTTTATTTCAATTTATTTGTGCAGTTTAAGATAAAAAGAAAAGAAAACAAAGGTACAAAGCCCATCTATATCTCTTTCACTTGTGCACTCGCAGAGATGCATCTAGCCAATTATGTCACAGGGAAGTGAATCTAAAATGTTTACTCTATCTCTGTTTGCTGACCGTACAAAAAAACTTTTTCGAACATTTTGTCTTCTTGGAAATGAATGTTTCTGTTCCTTTTTACTGCAGTGCTACGTCCTATTGCTTGATTTTTATGCACCTATGTTGATTATTTACTGCTTTTAGGGTTCCGTACCCAAAGGGTAATATGGTGACCCCATTACTAAGACTTTGCTGTCTGTATATCTGTCACCAAGCTGTATCTCATGAACCGTGATATGTGATAGTGAGACAGTTGAGATAATGTATTTCTGTTGCCGTTATAACAACAAATACATCTAAAAAACAGAATAAAATACATATTTAAAGGGGCTCCAAACGAGACTTATTTTGCTCGTTTTCGGTACTCTAATGGTTGGATCAGCAGGAGCTCTGGATAGCGCAATAAAAATCCTGATATAATTCTTTAACATCTTAATTTTATTTGCAAATCACTTATAAATAATTTCTAAAATACTCACTCTATGCCGGTCTCGATCAAAAAGAGAGATTATCCACCAGCAAAACATGAACACGCGAAGGAATAAATCGATTTATGGGCAATCGGCCAGCATTGCCCATAAATCGTCCGGAGAGTAAACCTACCTATAGTAATGTGCACGGACGTTACAGTACGGAACCGTTCGTGCGCAAGTCCGACTCTCACTTGACCGATTTTCTTTAGTAATTTAGTACAAGTTTTAACCCACTTTTAATCGAGTTATATGTAGAATTTCCGCATATAAAAAAGAAAAGTATTCATAATTAAATAGTCGAAAAAGTTTCAAATCTCTGACGGAATTGCAAACAAATTTACAACCTCTATTACAACTCTCATTACGGGTGGAATTCCCAATAATCCTTAGAGTGTTTACTGCATAAATTTAGTTAGGCACAGATCTTCAATTTTCATTTGATGCATCATATGCTTATTTTCAGAGGAAAAGTGGTGGAGACAGGTCATCCGTACGAGCTGCTCACTCAGAACCAACCCAAAACTGATGCGCCGCAGAGGCGATCACTGCTGCTCTCCAAGAGCCAGGTAATTTTATTAGATCCATTTTATTGAAGTATACCAGTTGTCCCGCGTAAATTATGATCGGATCGTACTAAATTAGTTTTGATTCCATTCATTAATGTATAGATATATATTTATTTCTTTAAGATAAAGTATCAATTTAGCGCTATGGATGCAATATTAATCAAAAATAAAATTATAAAGACTCTTCTTAAAAATGCTTAAAAAATTCTTTACTCCAGCTGAGCTAAACATAGTATTCTTTATGTAATTACGAGCTTTCAGTTATATTGCCCTTCGTGGCCTACTTTTCACGATAAAATTATCCTATGTTCTTTTCCAAGGTCCACTCTATATGTGTACCGAATTTTCTTCAGTAGTTTAAGCGTGAAAACGTAACAAACTTACAAAGTTCTTTTCGCATTTATGATATTAGTATGGATTGTTGTTTTAAGGTATATTTCTTACTTTTGTAGGCACCTCTGGCTAAACCAGAAAACTTTGCATTTGAATCCACGGACAAGCTAGAAGACGAGTCCCACAGACTGCTCACCGAGATGACCAGAACGTATTCCAATAAGTGAGTGCTGTACTATATGTGCTTTTATATTTTCACGCTAGTGGCTTTACCGCGTTACAGAAGCCCTGATCTGCCCTGAACATGAAAATCTCTGGATGATCTATCGGGCTGACACATCACTAGGAGTAGCCAGTCCAATCCTAGACTAATACAGGCAGTCCTCGTACTTATGGCATTTTAGGTTCTCGAAATACGCGACCTAAAGCGAAACGACGTAAGTCGAGACATATTTTTTCATATGTTTACATGTAAAACCCAAGGGTTAGGTTCCACACGGACTCAAAATAAACAAAAAACTACATTTATAACAAAGGATATACATACTTTATTATCAAAAGTGAGTAATTAAACTTAAAATAATTATACTCATGAATAAATGTACTCATGAAATTGCTAGTTATTTTTGGTATTTCAATAATAATTATAAAACTTTAATAATCAAAATATGCAATGAGAAATAATAAATTAAACTTTTGACTTAAAGAAACTATCAATTCTCGATTGCTTCGCTTCTTTCATCTTGCTATCATACAGGTCTTGGTAACACTGATAGGCTTTTAATTTTGTTATTAACATTAAAACCCTACGGACATTGACCTCGCGTCAAGTGAATTTTCCTATGCCGGAAATCGAAACAACTGACGTATGCTTGAGGAACAGTGTTAAAACATTGTTTGACGTAACTCGAAACGACATAAGTCGAGAACTGCCTGTACTCATAACTAAATCCAAAACTAAATAAATAATAAATTCTATACCAAATACAAAAATAATAACTAAATTCTAGACTATTTTTTTTGCTGACGGTTAACCTGATAGATCATTCAGAGTTTAATTGTGGCAAATCAATCTAATCAACTTTTTGTGTTTAAAACAGACCTGCGCATTTAATATAATTAGTTTAGGTAAAGATAATTTATTAATATTCTAAACATGATTTTATTAGGTCTGGTATAGAACAAGAAACGATGGGTATATTCAAGTCGTTGGTCGAACAAACTGGCAAAGAGACGGCGGCGCTCTTATACAAAATGGCCAAAGAGGTAAATGTGTATGCAGTACGTTTCTCAAGCTCATTTTACATTATATAAATAGTGTCACATATAAATTGCGTGCTGTTAGACGGTCATGTCAGAAGCCATAAAAACCTGTGAGTAATGTAGAGGGCCGGATCTACAACTTAGCTTTTTTTACTTAACCTTTTTTGACGGGACTTTCACTGGCAGATAGCTTATATAATAAGGAGTAACTTAAAAAATAAAACGACTCCAGCAGACCATGTCATATTTTGAGTGATATTCATACTAATTTTGACATATGACAACTAAACAGAATTACTTAAGGAGTGATTTCATTCGTTTCATTTTCATTTTACATGTAGAAATAAATTTATTCACTTGACATTGGCAGAATTGTGTGAAATGCGCAGATAAGCCATTAATAAAAGAAGAAGAAGAAGAAGAAGTGATTAAATAAAAAAATATATTGATTTCCCTTACTAAATGTTGACCGATATAGACCCCTTTATCGGAGATGCGATTTGGTAACTGAACTGAGAAATAAAATAAATAAATTGTTTATAAATTTGTACTTATACAACGTGTCCCAAAATTCAACGATAAGCGGGCGCCAAGAGGTAGACCTGCTCATGTGTACTTATGGAAAAATAAGAAAAAAATTATATCTTATTAATCTTTTTTATTATAAAATAAAATTCGAAAATTTTCGAAAGAGTTGTAGCGAATAGTAGTGCTATTTAGGTATCCGATACCAAAAAAAGATTGAACATAATTGAGAAGTTGTGGTCGTGGTAGTTGAAAATATCATAAAAGGTGTAAATTTTCGAAGATTTTCGAATTTAATTTTATAATAAAAAAGATAAGATATAATTTTTTTCTTATTTTTCCATAAGTACACATGAGCAAGGGTACCTCTTGGCGCCCGCTTATCGTTGAATTTTGGGATACGTTGTATATAACTATTTATGCATACGCATTTTCTCAAAACTCATCTCTAAAAACGTCCAGCTATCAAATAGCATCTCCGATAACGAGGTATACCTATAACATAATAAAATATAAAACTATTTTCTTTGCAGAGCTACAACAAAATGCTGCAGAAGAAAAATTCCTAATTCAATTATTTATAAAATTATAATAAGAATTATAATTCATACTAAGACCAGTACTTAAATTAAAAAAATGTTTCCATTAGAAATTTATAAATTATTAATACAATTATATAGGTACAGGGATTATACCATGAAAGTTAATTACGTGTATGTACAGATAATATTACTATCGAAGAATGTTAATATTTACATATTTCTTGCTATACTTTTATTGAGTATGGCAATTACAACGCAACAATTTTTTTTGTTAATTTGAATGAAAATTCAAGTTTATGAATTTTCAAAATATCACCTACCCTATTTTTTATTCGAATAGTGAGATCTCAAGAAATTTCGACTAAATAGATTAATACTAAATTTATTACGATATTTGCAATGTGTTATTCAATTGAAGATTTAGCAATAATAGGTATTTATTTATTTTTATTTAATTAAAAAACAAAACTGTTTGTTTCTTTCGCTCTTTACTGATCTCCAATTATTTAAATTTAGAGTGCAATTAATCTTTTTTTGGGTTTTTGTTACATCCTGTTTGTACTGGTAATTTGATGTTTTGTTTGTAATTTGGTTATAATGCAGGTGGACAATGAAATTAGGCTATTTACCAAACCGGGTTTCATGAACGTTTTCATAATAAAAACTCATTGACTGTGTAATTAGTTCTTAAATGGATCAACTCAGTTTTTAATTAACCAATCATGTTTTTATTAAGCAACACGAGAAAAACTAAAAATTAAGAAATAAAAATAGAATACTGACCTGATTCTTTTTGTCCATCTGTATATATAATTATGGTTTTGCTTCGCAGAGCAATTTTGCGTTTGAAATATTCGAATTACATAATGTATAATATCTTTTTGGTATAACTTATATTTACTTGTTATTTTCAAGTCGATAAATGTTTAGTTACAAAGGAGATTTATCTAAATAAATCAGGTTTTTTAGAACATACAGCAGCACTGCAGGTAACCTAATATTAGTTCAATTACACTCGTTTTTATACTCTATTTCCGATGCATTAGGGTTCAAAATTTTAAGTTTATATTTTAAAATGTAAAATGTTCAAATGAAAACTGTAAAATTAAAGTGTATTGTATAGTACTACATAACCTGCTATTGACTGTAAACTATCAGTTAAAAAAGAAAAAGACTTGACTGAATATTTTTTAATCAATCGAATTCATATTTTTTATACCGAACAAGTAGCTAATGAGCTCGAACCACGTGAAAATAAACTAGCATTGTCAATTTTAGGTTGCGTGAGTGAGAAGTGCACAAATTTGACGACTATGTAATTTGTAAAAGCAAATCTAAATCATTAAGAAATAATGTTATTTAATTTCATAAAAAATAAAGCGATCTAACAAAATTCTTATAAATAGAAATGTTATCAACTTTGTCTGTTTTAATTTAGTGTATAATTAGCATTCCTATAACAGATTATCACGAAATGTCAAATTTTTCAATTGATTTTGAACCCTACCAATAACGCAATAAGGTTGAAAATGTAATATGTAAATTTGTGACGAGTGTAAATAATTTGCTTTTAGCCTGACGTGCTGTTGATCGTTCGTAGACCTGATGCAGACTCAATCCATCGTGTTTATAAAAGGAAGACTAACGCCCGGTTTCTGAATTGAGAATTTGAAGTTGAGCACGTCTTAAACCGTGCCTACTTTTAATGTCATTAAAACATATTTTCATTGCTGATTTATAAATTTTTAATTATCAGTTGATAGCAATTTGGTAAATCTAATACTTTTTGCCATATGAAACGTAAAAAAACTTAATTTATTAAGAATAATCAGTTGAGATTTTGTACTTTCTCAATTCAGAAACCGGCCGTATCTTTAGTGTCAGATTTGCACCATTATCTGATCAAAACATGTGAACACGTTTAAATTTGACGTTGTCCATTCTGTCATTGTCAATTGCTTTAGGCGGTTAATGGTTTAAATCAAGTACTGACTTTAGTCTTATAAGACGTCGTATATTTTAGGATATTTTCTATGCTTATTATTAAGCCTTTCCTTATTATTATATTATTAAGCCGGATGTGGCAGATTAGATTAAAAACAACTGCTTAGGTTGATATACTCAAACAGGGTGGGTAGTTATATCTTAGCCAATCATATTTTATTCCAACGCTTCATTTCTTACCAGTGATTTTTGTACCTACTACCCAACATCTTAGGGGCTGAGGGCTGATTTATGTTTTCATTGCGTCAGTATTAGAATATTATTTATAATATATTATACATAACCAGCCGGAACAATAGCAAAATCACAGTATTACAAGAACTGGATCGTTGTTTTGTAATTTCTCGAGCTAATTGGATCTTATCCAATAAGACATGTATTTCGTGCTGTCACTGTCATGCATACAAGGCCGTGTAATTTTACAGTCATCAGCAAGTCAGTTTATACAAAACTGTCAAATTTATCAACTTGATTTGAAACCTTAATGCATTATTGATAGAGTTAAAAATAATTTAAGGAAATTTGATATATTGTGGTAGCCTGACGGCAGCTGAGTGTATTTATTGATACGAATTTGCTCGTTACGTCTAAAGACCACCAACGTGACATTGGCAGAATTGTGTAAACGCAAATAGGCCATGAATTAAAAAAAGAACGCGTAATTCTTGTCATACCGCACGATTTTCTAGAGGCCACTTTAGGACGGTGACTCACTTTCATATGAATTCGTGTATTTGTGCTTCTTTAGTATAGTATTATATAGTATCTTAGTATACATTTAGGTCTTCCTAAAATTAAGTTAAAAAAGCTATTGAAGAAAGACTTTTTCTAACCGTGGCTGTTATTGATGCTTGGAAAGTGACTTAAATATTTATTATTATACGTACTTACAGAAAGAACAATTGTTAAGAAATAAATCTGTGATCATAGATTTCACAATACTTACTGATTATTTATAGATGTTAGTCATATTGTCGGTGCGTTTAATTAAAATTAAGATACCGAGTTGGTCCAGTGCTGGAGACCGACTCGAATACTCACGGTCGGTAATTCGAATTTCGCTAGTTTAAAATGTTTGACATTAACATTCGAACAGCTATTTACTTAGCTAGTTAGCACAATGTCCCAATTTTAAAAATAAATATCCTTTAACTATGGTGCTATTGTTCACTGAAATTGTCAATTTTCGATGTAATAATTGCATGCTATTCTATTTACTATTTATGTACATAAGTAATATTCATCAGATAGAAAGATATCGTTTTTTTTAAAGAAAGCGCCATCTAGCGAAGAGGCTCATAACTATGACTTAATTTGCAGCTATGAAGAAACATAAATGCGTCACAATACAAGGTGGATTATTTTAATAATAAAAAAATAGTTCACATATTGAGTTCATAATAGATTCATATTAAAATAAAAAAATACATATATTTTTTAATCGAAGTTACCAGAAGTATCACGGAATAGTTATCAAACTTATCCAAGAGGATGAGCGTGCTTGTTCCCAATCGGGTAAGACTAGGTTCTCCTTCCTACATTTTCACATATAGGTACTATGAGTTTAATCGAATACATATAGATTGTACGGCTTTTGAGATGTACTTACTTGAAAGCTAACACTACTGAGTGTAATGAACGAATTTATTCACAATTCAAAACTTTAATATATTTTTTTAATTATTTTTACCATGAACATATAATACGTCGTCGTGACGTTTATATATTTTATTTGTAACGCTACGTTTTCGTGCCGTGTGAAGTATAGCACGGTCGCCGAACAGAAAGAATTTCGTTCATCGACCCGGCGTTACATATCCCTTTCACTTGTGCGCAAACATTGCTATTGCGCACAAATGCATTTAGCCATTTATGTCATAGCAAAGTGAACCTTAAATGTTTACGGTATCTATCAGTAGGCACAGAGGTCAACGTACGATATTCTCTTTTGCTATATCTATATATTTAACATACCTCCATTTTTTATTTAACATACAAATTAACATAATTTCACACATATAAAAAAGCTGATTTTTTTATTATTATTTCTCTTTTTTCCGACCTTTATTACTGATTCGGTATCGAAATGCTACTTTTTATAATTTCGTAGCAATATTTAAAAACGCTTTTTAAAAACCCTTAATATATATGATATAATACATAAATAAACCCGTCTAATACCCCGAATTCAGATAGGGTTACCAATACATATTTATGTTTTTAATGTACAGAAGTATATATACCAATACATAATAATTAATAACAAAGACGAAAGATTTGCTTTTTTTTATTAAAATAACTCTTAAAACTACTGCACCGATTTCAAATATTATTTCATTTACGGGAAGCTTTAAACATACGGGGGTGACGTAGGCTATGAAGACGTAAACGTTGAATAAATAGGATACATACTTTTTTTAACTATTCCGTGATGATGATTTTGAAAGAACAACTACAAATTCTATTCTTTTTCCACTTTTATACGATTGTATTAGCGAATTTTTTTTATATATTGATTATGTGAATAGATAATTTGTTATTTTAATTATTTTAACAAATTTCTGCTTACTGTGCCGTCTGCATTTCATAAAAAGATTATGCTGAATTTTTTATTATTTGTAACATTCAGTCAATATTTTTTTAATAACAAAATTGCAAAATATTTTAAATATAATTTATGTCTTGCCTTTAGATTGTTATAGCCATTATTTAAATAATAAATATTTATACAGATTAACTGATTAATGCAAGTAAAAAACACCCAAGTGACTATGAAGTAAAATGAGTACTATTTAAATGGTTCAGTTACACTCGACTATGATGTCCGTAAATGTTCGGTACGGGCGGTTTCTGTGGCTCGCTTTCATTGGTCTGTCATTGTTTTTTTTTTACAAATGAAAGGACACGGAGGCGTTCCGCGTGCCTATCCGGTCGATCAGTGTAACGGAGCCAAAATGCGTGCTTTAAAAATTATCGCTCTAGGAAACTATTGTAAACAGTATTCACGTATCTCATTTAGAAAA